TAAAAATATAGTAAAGGTTGAAAGATCATTTCTACTAAATATATGTATTATTAAAAGTCCGAGTGAAAACATAATCTAAACCTTGTTGCGTAGGATGACTGTAATTTACTTAGTTCTATCTAAATTTGAGAAAAAGAATGACCTACATAAAAAACTATCAAAATCGATCCAGATACCGATTCTGAACAAACTACTTTCAGGGTGTACGTTAATTATGTTACACGTTGTATCTATATGTATAAAAAACCTTTTGTTGATAGATTCTGCCTTCCTAACGGCACATCCAAAGTAATAAAAGAACTAGGAAGGAACGTTACGTATGCTTGATTTTTTACAAGTATATAATATTTGTCTTTACTTTTAATAATCAATACTTATAAGAGCAACAGTATAAAACAGAACGTAGCCCTGTTCCCTATCTTGCTGTTGATCAACCTTTATGACTGGATTTTCTATAAATAGTCAATAGAATATTGCGACAAATCATTTTATATGTAGTTCTGTAAAGTTTGATCTTGATACGTTTATTAAGAAAAGCCATAGAATTAACATTTATACTAACAATGTACACGAGTTCGATTAAAGTTGAATTTAGAGGTATCAAAATAAAATATAGTCAGGTTTTTATATTATTGTAATTAATAATGAAGTTTGATAAGGATATTAAAAATAATTTTCGTTAAAATAATATAATCTTTTACTGATAAATATTTTAACCAAATTGGCTCCAATTTAAAACTGACTTTTATAGTAAATTGTCAATTAAAATAGTTAAATTTTATTATAAATACCTCACAGCTGTAATCAAAACCAATCTGAATAGTTTTTAAATAAATGTAGCCTTCATTTTAATAAACAGGCAAAATAATTCTCACGTCACCCCACACACGTCACGTAAAATAAAAACTAAAAATACTCAATAAAAAACCTTGCAACCGTGAACGATAAATAACGTTAACTCAATCGTATTAAGAAAGTCTGACCATTATTTTTTATTTATTTATGGAAATGAAATGGAGTTCAAATTCATGAATTTTCTAAAAACCATCATCATTATATTTTAACTTAAAATGGTGTGAAACTTATATACCTAATAATAAGTATTAAAAAAAAAATAAAGTTTTTTTTAGACATTGCTATATAACTAATAATAAAAATGTTGTTTCTTTGTTATACGAATAAATGTTAACGGCTTCGGGTCAAATTATTCACATCAACGCAGCTACAGTTTTATACTTGAGTTATTTTTAAGTTTATAAACAATTTCATTCTGTTCTTGTTCTTATTCTTCATAAAATAAATCTAGATTCTGTACGGTAATATTGAACAAAGAAAATTTATAATACACAGTTGCTGTCTTCACTTTTAAGATGATTTTCTGTAGAATAATAATTTGTTGTTTATATAAATAAACAAAGCCTATTTTAGATATATTGGGAAAGTTAAAGTTGCACTATTAAAACAACGTGTTATCCCATGCTTAAAAATCCTCTGCGTGAAATTCTTAATCAATTAAATATAAGTATCAAATGATTTTGTTAAAAACTTATTCTCTTATTCTGTTGTGTAATCAATCATAGCTTAAAAACACCTCAAGCAAGCTGGCTATCATACGTGGAATACGTATCAAAATCAGTCAATCCGTTTATGAACCCACAGACTTCATTTATCTGGAAGAGTTATATAGAAGTACCACTGTCACAACCAAGATCGACGTGAGTTAGTCTTAAATGGCTGCATTTTAACCAATGAGTGAAAGAGCCGGATGCCCTTTGCTTTTTCCCACCCTATCCTATCCCTCTTCCAAAATCAAGGTCGGCAAAGCATTCACAACTGTCCATCAAGTAGACCCTCTATTCTTTTCCCAGTTTTGATATAAGATAAAACAATCTTATATCTTTTTCTTGTTCTATAAAAACATATATATAGACAAACAGAAACGGACACACAAACTTATTTGTTAAAAAAGGAAAGAATGATGTCACCCTTCATTATATAATGTAAATTTCTAATTCATATATAATGGTGTAAAAAGGTAATAATCACTGTTAAATTCTTGTATTTTGTTTGGAAGCTTGTTTTTTAAAGAACCAAAGCCAGCACATTTCATTACGTAAATGGGGATAAAGTTTTAAGGAGTATTGGTTTACTTCTGTTTGAATAAGCAAGCCTTTGGGATAAAGTTGTGTGAATTACCAAATGTGATTATAATTAAACGAATGAAAACAGGAACAGATTTTAAAATAATATTACATTCTTTTTAAATGCAGAGTTGTATTTAACAATTTTATTATCTTGTTTTTTAGTTATTCTTAATTCTTCATTAATGTATGTACTTGTCTTTACTAACATTTTACTGCCCCGGCTTTGTACGTATGTAACGTTTGTAATATATACACTACAGAAAAACTTTGAAAGTTGTATAATAAACATAGCGGCCTGCTCCGGTTTACATCATATACTATATAGGGCCATATAGATCTATTTATCTATTCAGCCCGCGGTTGCAATGTAAGCGGAAAAATTACATTATTTATGACACCATATTAGAAAATTTTAAAATAACAGTACTTCTCCACTATTCGATGGATATTATTTTACTTATAAGCCTTCCTCTTTAATTATTCTATCTATTTACAAAATCTCATCAAAATCCGTCGGGTTGTTTAAAATATTTAAGCATACATAGGAATATAGTGATATTAAATGATTTCTCTTCGGTTTCGATCAAAATTTATCCTATCTCATAGTCGTAGTTCTTATTCAGCATTATGAATCTTGAATTTTATTTATCAATATTTTATTCTTATTAGTAGTTTTCTTGCCCAGTTTATAACAGACAGACTGAGTAATGTAATATGAGACGAAACCTCTTAGCATTCAATGGATGCACCGCGCGGGTGCCGGGTCCATCGGGTTGCAGGGAGAGGAGTTTCATATATTCGATCACAACTTCCTCGAGTTAAAATGACGCCACATGTGGAAACAATATCACTATTAAATAACAGTGTTATGTCATTAATTGAAATTTTAAAAGCCAAACTAGAATTGAAAAACCACATTTTTCTTGTCAGTGTCATGTTAGTAAAATGATGTATTTGATTGAATTGATTGCAGCATAATTATAATCAGTAATAATTTCTTAACATTTTACAATTTCGTTGTTTTATTTAAAATAATTGCAAGTGATTCTAATTACGAAACTAAACTTAACTAATACTAAATATTACAATTCATCTTTTAATGAAATAACAAAAAATAAGAGGAAATGAACACGACATTTTATTTGAGATAGTGTCACAATATTGATATGGGCCTGAAATCTATTTTAGCAACCTATAATCCAGATTCACTCACACTTATTTATACGTAGTATTTTTCTAATCTTAGTCCTATATGTGCTCTATGAAAGCCAAAAATAAAAGGAAAAGAAAAGGTTGTGCAATTTCTTAGTTTTTTCAAAGTAGTAACTTATACAAAGGTTATTCTATATATTTCTTAGACTTATGTACATATACCTACTTCTATGAATACTGATACTGCATTTGGTGTATACATTAATTGTTAATGCTATGTGGTGTTTTTTTTTGTGAGAGTTCAGTTCTTGACTTGAATTACAAAATAGTTCTTATTTTATAAGTACATAACTCAAATAATGTAGTTATGATTTTATAAATTAACTAGTTTTTGCCCGCGACTTCGTCCGCGTTAATTTTATCATTAGTAATATATGTATAGCTGACCGGGCGAACTCTATTCCATCCTAGAGGCCATAAAAAATCAGGTTTTTCCTGTTTCAATTGAACAGAATGATTGACATATTAGTTAGTTGTCAAATCTAATGTCAAAGAAAACATTTGTATGGGAAATAGAAAAGGACTGTTTTTAGGGTTTTGCCGGAAATGAATCAATTTTTCTCACCTTTTATACCTTCCCTGAACCTCCACGAACATTTCAAGACTAAGATAAGATAAATCCGTTCAGCCGTTCTCGAGTTTTAGCGAGACTAAGGAACAGCAATCCATTTTTATATATATAGAAGATTTTGATGGATGGAGGAACTTATTTATATTTCATGAAATTACATTGTATTCTAACTTTCTTAAAAGAATTGTCAAGCTCTTCAAATTTCTAATATAATTAAAACTATAAATCACTTCTTTATTAAAACGGTTTAGATTTATTAAATAATTTTTATATGAAGATGCAACGTGTGTACCTAAGTAAGACACTGTAAGTGCAATTATCCACAAATTCTTTAATATTCTGGCTTATTATCCTAGAGTGTAGATGCAAGCATAATGCGCTGACTGTATTTTGAGGTTTTCCCGTGTTCACTAATGCTGGAATAAAATGTAGAATAAAATAATGCATACTCGTAGTGCAAATATACAAAGACACAGTTTAATTATTAAATAATAAAGTCAATACATTAAATACTGTTAAAATATTTTTAATAAAATGTATATTTATTCATAACTGATTTTTTATTAGAACTTTTCAAAAATATAGCAGTGTGAAACGGAAAGAAAATATTAAATCTCTCAATCTCATTAAAAGCAAACGACCCGAAATATTCTACAGACCGGCTAATTTAGTTATACAATGTGATAAGAATCGTTTTATTGAAATATCAACTATATTAACATAGAAATAAGAACATTAATTGAATGAGCAAATTTCTTTTCAACATAATGCCATTTGAATTATAAGTGACTTAGGCCCGATTTTTCAATCCTCAGATAGCGAATTTTATCTGTCGAATAAAGTTTATTCGATGAATAACAAGATTTTAAATTTTTCGATTGTCAGATAGATGTTATCTGCCGAATATAGGCGGTAACTGGAGAATAAAGTTATCTGCTGCTTCAAGGGATGGTTAAGATTTATCTGTGGATTTATCTAGCTGCCATCTATGAAATTTTGAGGTTGTGTAGGTTTTCTGATTTTATTTATTGTTTAATAAATAAAATAGATTGTATTACCTCACGCACATTATAATGGATGTTTTTGAGCAAATCGACGACGCAGCGATTGAAGAGGACTGGCAGGCACTGAACTATATTAAACCTGATCAGAGAAAGGACAGAGTTGTAAAAGAGAGACCTGACAATTTTAATACATGGGATGATAGGGAGTTTTGGAAAAGATTTCGCCTGACAAAACACACTGTAGAGCTATTGCTTTCATCAATTCAGGACAAAATTGAACACAGTACAGAAAGGTAAGTTAATTTTTTGTATCATACACATCATTACCTAAATTAATTGTAAGTACCTAACTACTATTCCTTTAGGACCTATTTTACTTAAAACCATTATTTCTATTGTTTCAGGAATCAGTGTGTTCCATCAATGCATCAATTATTACTTGCATTACTCTTTTATGCAACTGGAACTTTTTATGTAACAATTGGTGATTTTGGCGGACTGCATAATTCTACAATTCTGTAATATTGGAACATATAGCCAGCACTTCTCCTCCACGTCATCGAAATCAGGAGCATTAGATGGCCCGCCACCCATGCGATAAAGTTCCTGCCTGTGACAGGACATCTTCTTCGTGGCCTTTTTGATACTTTCATATTTTAATTTTAATGTTTTAGAGCTACGTGTCGCGGTACCACTAGTAGTTGCATTAAAAGAAGAAGCTATTCTGCCCCAGGCAGCCTCCTTATTTTTATTGGTCACGGCGTCCGTTTTTTTGTTTTCAATTATATGCTTATATTTGGTAACCAATTCCGTCAATAATCGCGTTTCGGCTTTATCGAAATTACTTGCATGCTCACGCTTTTTATCCATTTTTATATATAATAGAACAAAATTAATTAAATGAAACCAAACCAAATGTCAATCATAACTTGTTAAAGTCTAACATCACGATGACTGCATACGTGCATCTCGCTCGTACGTAGTTACTGTAAAATTTGCGACAGATATTAATAGACAACAGATAGATAGCTATTCTTTATTTAAAAAACGATTGAAAAATTGAAAATATTTACTCCCTTGTTAAACAGCCAGTTATTTTTACACGTCAGTTAGTTATCTAGGGACTTATCAAAGGATTGAAAAATCGGGCCTAAACAAAACGCTCTGATAACAGGCTTCTAATTCAATCATGTTTGGACAATACGGATTCATTACAATACCTTTTGGGTTAAAAAATTTCCCAATTACCTTCCAATCTGAAATCTGTGAATTAAATTCTATAAGACTACTTATGAAAACCAAAAAAATAATATACAAATTGACAATGAAGAGTTAATATCGTTTATTTTAAACGATTTCCGAAAATGTTTGATGCCAGATTGCTTCTTATTTTCTGTAAAACATTATCGAATGTCTCTATACTCATTCTTGTGTAATTGTAGAACTTTCTTGAATGACAACGTAGCTCGTAATAGTGTAGAAAATTAAATATCATCTCTAGGTAATAAAATTTCTGTCATTAGACTGGGCTCCAATAGTTCTCTTCGACGTGAATTCATGTTTATCACAACACTACGTGAGCGGTTGTTTGTTTCGTACACACGCAAGACACCGCTGTCTTTTCGCCCCGCGCCGCACGCCCCGCTCCGCCGCTTCTCCGGCCATCGCAAGTTTCGTACCCGCAGACTCATAAATCCTATAAATACATACAACTCATGAACCCAAGACAACCAGATAGATGTCGCATATACAGGGTGACTGGTGAATTACTATCAATATTTAAGGAGAATACTCGGTACATGATTCTCATTCGAATTATGTAAAAAAAAATAGGTACTTAATTTTAGACCAAATTTCCGTATAAATAAATAAAGAGTGGACACGTTCCAAGTGTTCCAAGTGTGGACGCGTGCGGCGGCGTGCTGATACAACACCACGCCGCCAGACACGCGCGTGTGTGTGTGTGTATACCTAATCTGTAGGGTGTTCACACGATGCGTAATTAATTACATAACTTTTGGTTAACTTTACTTAGAAGTTTATTAATATTTATGTTACATTAATTTTTATTTTGTCATATATGATCGTCAAATATCACGTCCTCAAGTATCGATAGTAATTCACCAGTCACCCTGTATATTGGTACGGAACCGAATGAAATGCAATAAAAATTAATAATTGCACATGGTAGTAACAACAACAACCACCAGAGTACACGAATACAAAACTGTAAACGGTCTGTATGTAGTGTGTCGATACAAGCTTGTTATACGGATATATCAAGAGTCAATTTAATTTGTTGACCAAGTCTATTATCATTACTTGTTCCCTAGATTTAGCTTAGAATACTTTGACTGAATCCTAAGTTCTCGCGACGTGATTAAAGACATTTTCCATGTTTTATAGGAGGATACATAGTTTAGATAATTTCCAGCCATTTTATTTATTGCGGTTAGAATATTTCCTTATTTTAATAGCCTCGCAGTTTAATCTCTGCATATATCTTTTTCTAGACGTGTGGATTGGTTGTTATATTTGAGACGAAATAATAAAGGGGGTTTTTCTAATGATGGTCGTAGTCCACATTCTTCATGATACATATACCAAATTTGTGCATATTTCTTGTTTCCTTTCTCACGGAGTAGTTTCTATCTGTCTTCTTTAAAACACGATTTGCAACATCAAGACTCCGATAACGACGCATGAAACCACCACATTTTATTACAATGACAAACAAGTCGAGAACAGAGATATAATATTCTACTGATTACATGATAAAATTAAAATTGTAAGTGGTCGCTAAACTTTTCAATCATATTAGTACACAAACTGTTGTCTGTGTTGTAAAGCTTTTCAAATAAAACCTTATAAATAAATTGATTATGAATGGCACTATGCCAAACCAGACTTGAGACACAAAACTTTTACACAAAAAGATCTCTACTGTATTTGAGATCCTAAAAAGCAGATATAAAAAAATATGTAACTTTATAAAATAATAAGACTTAAACATACTAAAATGTTTTATCCTAGTTTATATAGTGTAATTCATAAAAGCAAAATATGTAATTAAAAAAGGAATCCAACAATATTTTTGTAGAACTTAATATGCACTACCTTTACCTGTGACTTTCTCCATATAAAGACGACGTTCTGTTACAAAACGTTTACCTAGCTTAAAATATTTGAATGAAAAAAAGTGTTGTTAACCATAACATCACATCTTTATATTATAGAATATATTGTATTTATCGTTTTCTTTTTTTTTGAATACAACTTACGAAAATTTTTGAATACAACATTTGACAACGCAGTGTTAACTATACGAAACAAACGTTATATGTGTGGATACAACCACTTACGGTGAAAATAAATGTTACATAGGATATAATAGTAGTTTCTTGATTTTGATAATATTTAATATTAGTGCCCTCTTGTGGCGAGTGGTGGTACTACTACGACTTGGTCGATTTTGTCGATTGAACTACCGCTTTGAGTTTAGCTATCTGCTAACAGATGTCGCTGGTAAGTCAATTTCTAGGGAGATGACTAGCAGTTTTTCTATAGTTAACCTAAATAATGTCTATGAATTTTTCACTTGAATTCAGTTCCACACCCACAGAAACGCCCAAAGTATCTTTTACTAACTGTTCTTGTTTTTTGATAGGTTCTTAACGTTTAGCACTGTACTGTATTTTGAGCCATAATATAGGGATTAAACAGAGAGTGTTTATTCTACTTACACTGGAAATATCTATCTATCTAATATCTTGTCTAGGAAGTACCCATGCCCCACGCTTTTATTTTAGTCTAGTCTGTGCATATGTTTATAATTCCCATGACTGTATCTATTTTATTATTTTTTGGTTTTTAGTACATTTATCTTAAACATTGCAATGTATGTTTCACGTAAAACCGTTTAACTTATAAAGTTTTTTTATCTATTTTTATTTTCTAGTTTTTAGTTTTTATTACGCATTCTGTTTAATTCATTTGTGCTTCATTATTGCAAGGTTTCTTGCCCGTTAGTTTATTGCAGTCCAACTCCTCTAAAAAATTATTATCAGCCATTTGGTAGCGGCGGCCATCCTAGATTTCAATTTAGCATAGTAAATTGTGTTCTACTTGTTGAGACCTTTCATTTGACACCCATATTGATGGGATTGATAAAACATAAATTATCCGCCATTTTGTAGCGGCGGCCATCTTGAATTTATAATGATAATAAATAAACATAATTGTATTGTCACCAAAATCCAAAGTATATACAAAATTAGATCTGATTAAATACAAAATTAGAATCAGATTAATCGGTTGACAGGAAGAGGGTGAAATTTGAATTACTAAATTTGACCCAAGAAAAATGAAAAATGAAAAAAGAATAAAAAAAAGAATAAATAATAAAACAAACAGAGTGAGCTAAATAAAACCATTCAATAAACATATATTGTAAATCATATTACACATACAAATAAAGCCATGCCATGAACCCGGCACCCGCACGTTTAATCCATGGTGTGCTGAGAAGTTTCATCTCTGGTTGCTAATTGTTAGGTAAAGCGATAAAGTCGTATGAGATTAATACCGTCTTGAGAGGAGAGAATCACCCACTTTATGTCTTCCTGTTCCGTTGAACTTACGAGTACGTTCAGAACATACCATCACTACTTATAAATACACGTTTTATTAAAAAAGATTCTGTTTGAATACGATATCAAAAAATACTATTATTGAACAGTTCTACGACCTGACAGTTGACAGCATCTAGTATTGTATAGTATTTTATGAAAATAAATGTTAGAATAGCACGCGTGTACCTCATACATCTGTAACCACAAACAGTAGCCAATGAATTATACGGTATTATGTTGTATCAGGCATCAACTATATGTAATAATGAACACATTTTCAATTCTGATAATAAACGTTTACATTTATCGATAGATATAATTATTTAATTAATTTGATATTTAACTATTTTTGTTTTCGAGAAATAAAATATCTTTTTCAATAGAACACGGACTTCAGGAACCAACAGCATAATTTTATGAATTTTTAATTAATATTTTTATTACATTTCACATAAATCTTATTATTCAATCTTACTCCAATCCTCAAAAGTATCAATTACACCGGTGGATTGTGGATTATCAAATAATTTCGAAATTCACGTACTCAGATATACCTACACTATACTCAAATGAAAGTATATATAAAATAGTCTTTAATTATGAATATTAAGATGAGGCAGTGATCGATAAACCTACATATCGATATAAAAAAACCTCACACAATGT